CTCCCTCTCCTCCTGGGAACCCAAGGTCAGGGAGAGGTGGCAGGGCTGGGGCACTGTGAGCAATTTCTTGAGCCGGGCCTGCAGGCAGAGCATAGGCACTGTGAGGCTGGGATTGAATCTTCTTTCTCAGATACCAGTATTTTGAGAGAAAGGTTTCCTCCTACCTCATCAGATCAGATCTCCCTAGGATCAGGGACCATGCATATTTTGCTCAGTCACAGAGTCACAACCCATTGTGCTTAAACCAAGCTCCTGATATTTCATGCCAGCATAGTGTAATGGAAAGAATATGGACTTTGAAGTCACATAGGGTTGGAATCTTGGCTCCATTGCTTATTAATTGTGTGGCCTTGAGTATGTTATTTAGCATCTGGGAATCTCAGTTTCCTTCTTGTAAAACTGGAGCAATGATTCTTACCAGAGAAAATAATCTAACTAATGTGCCTAGTATGATGCCTATTACCTAGAAATGGCTCAATGAACATTCCCTTTCTCTCTCCCTCTTTCCACATATATGGCTGGAGCTGGAAAAACCATCAGGTTCTTTTCTATCCCTTTCTTTTCCAATAGAAGAATGCTGTGTGTTCAAAGGTAAAAACCACTCCTCCTCCACATTACCAAAAATTGCTATTACAACTCAGATGGAAGAGGAATATACTCAATATATAGTTTAAAAAACCTTTCTGGAGGTAACAATGCTGGAAGTCTTGGAGAAAATCATGGAAGTAGAGACAGTGGTGTGATGATATTCTTGGTGAGGAGATAATGATGGTGGGCGGAGGGGTGGTGCTGTTGGGAGTGGTGGTGGTGATGGGCACCGTGGAGCAGATGATGGAGAAGGTGGTTGAGGTGATGGTGAGGGCAGTGGTGGAGATGGTAATGGAGGCTACAGTGAAGTGAAGATTGGGTAGTGATGGTGATGAGGACAACAATGATGGTGATGGTGGTGAGAGGCTAGGAGAGAGGTGATGATGTTTGTGTTGTTTGGGATGAGTATATTATACTTGGTTTGCAGTCACAGTGAGATATGGTGGTTTGTGACCAGGACAACCTCCAACCAGTTAGGAACTGCAGGAGATAGAGTCACAGAGAGGGCAGGCAAAGCAAGGTGGGAGAATGCTTTATGATTGACTGTTACTTTGGCTCTAAGCTCCAATAGAGAACATTAGTCTTCTTAATCATTGCTGATTGAACACACATGTTTATCTTGGCTACTTCTAGAAGCCCCACTAAAATGTCATTAATGGAATTTTTAAAAAAGGCATAAACCCAGAAGGAAAAAGAGAATGGGAGAGGAAACAGCAGCAGACAAAAGAAGTCAAGAATTTGGAAATTAAAAAGTGGATGGATACGTGGTACCTGACTTAGCAGACCACAGAAAACTGAAACCCAAGCCTGAAAGGTTGTGGGGGTGGATGGCAGGAACAAATAGGTGGCAAAACATTTCTAGCCACAGAATCCCAGAAAAGCCTGGGAGTTGGAGGCACCAGTTACTTCTGAAGGCAAGGGTTTCTAGTGAGGGGGAAAAATGAGGAGATTGGTTACATTTTATTTTTTTGAAGCAGTAAGAACCTCCCTGCCCAGGATTTACTCTTCTACCCTATGCATCCAAGTAATCATCCCCTTCCATGCTGGCAGAAGACAGAAATTTTATGCTCTGAGCTGCTGGGCCTGAAAGGTTGTGGACATCGAGGCACCAGGCACAGCTAGGGGAGGGGTGAGGAGCCAGTGTGAACAAGGGGGACATAAGACAGCCTGTTTCCTGGAAGGGAAGGCTCTCAGCTGTCTTCCCCATCAGTCCCCACAACACTGGGAGCCAGGTTAATATCAGGTAGGTAAGATAATGCAGACTTTCCTAGGGAAACTGATTTTCCCAAGAGAAAAGACCTACAGGTTTTGATCTTTGGTCTCCCAATGAAACTGTGAGTCCCACTCAATTATCCTACAGTTGTCAACAATTTTCTCTCTTTTCCTTCCACCACTGTCAATCAGAAGTTTGGTGCCTCACCTTTCAATATGAATTGACAGTGAAGAATTGGTATTTCAGGAAATTCTTCAATATGAAAGGCAGAGGTCAAAGCAATGAAGAGGAAAAAGGAACATGAAGGAAAAAAGAAACAATGAAGAAGAAAAGCACAGAAATTTGATTAACATTTTTAGAATGATAAAGAAGGTGATGCCCCTTTAAATGAGAAGAGGATCAGAAAGAGGAAAATTCTTAGGAATACAAATATAACAACCATATTTGATTAAAAATCAAAAGAAAGGTTGGAAGATAAAGTCAAGATGAATTCCTAAAAAGTAGAATAAAAATACCAAAGAAATGGAAATGGACATAAAAACTTAGATGATTTATCTAGGAGCAGCATCTAAAAATATAAGTCCTAGAGATAAATAAAATAAAGAAAGGAGGAGAAACTGCCAATGAAACAATACAAGAAAATCTCCTAAAACTTGCAGAACATGAATGTACAGATTGAAAAATTCTGTGAGTACATGCCAAACTGAATTAAAAAAAAAAAAAAAAACTCATCCCAAGGCACAGTGAAGTGAAATCCCAAAACACTGGAAATGAAAACCTTAAAAATTTCCAGAGTGGGGGAAAAATTTATTTATAAATAATGGGGAATCAGAATTGTATCAAAGATCACAACTACTATATAAGGCAAAAGAAAGTGAACAATGCTTCTAAATTCTGAAGGAAATGATTTCCATGCTAGAGTTCTATACTCAAGGAAACTAGCAATTGAGTATGGCAATAAAAATAAAGATGCCTCTGGACATTTATGGTCTTAAAAATTTGCTTCCCAAGTACTATTTTCCAGGAGGATATTGGGGAATGTTTCCACCTTAATTAGGATGTAAGCCAAAGAAGAGGAAGGAAATAAAAGATCCAGCAGCAAAATAGAGACAAAGGGAAATTTGAGAAACAATGGTGAAGGGAAGTGTCAGGATGACAGCTGTGCAAAACAAGTAGAGAACAGTCAGTCCATATTGGTCATGAAGATGGGGAACTCCAGGAGGGAGGTCTCCAAGAAGAAAATGAAACTGACAGTATTGTACATTCAAAGGGAATTCTTAGTTCTACTGGAGTGTTGAGGCACAAATTAGTAAATGATACATGGAAAATTAAGCAAATGGCAAAACAAAGTAATTGTTAATTTTAAGAGGACCCAAAAGTTGGATGAGAGGAAAAATGGCTCAGTTGTGAATGATAGTACTATAATAATAGTAATGCAAAGCCTGAATATGACTGTGGTCAATACCGATAGTGGTGGAGTAAGAGAGCTGAATTTTCATCTTCCACAGCAGAAGATCAACAGATACAACCAAAACTAAAAAATGCAAGAAATAACAGTATTACCATGTCATTTAGAAATATGGAAATAGAAGTTAGAAGAAAGTTAAAACAACTCAAAGTGCTTGCATCAGGAAAGAAGGACTCAGAAGTGAGCCGGATTGGAGCAGAAGCCTTATGGTTTTCATTATAAGCCTTGTAGAACATTTTACTTTCAAAAATATGTACATGTATTACTTTGATTAAAAAAATAAAGATTTAAATAGAATATAAAAAATGAGAACTCAAGTGAGCCATGCTAGATTATGCGGAGAACTTCTTGACCAAATAAGTCAGTCCAAATGGCTCAGAACCAAAATCAGCTGAAAGACCTGCTCCATCTACTGCCTCTGGGTCCAAACCCAAGTCTTGGATGTGTCCAAACTTACCAGAAAGCCACAAAAGGGAGCTCAAGAACCACAGAAACATCTTGCATTAGCGCCATTGCTCAGGCCTCTCCAGGACCATGTGGCTGCCACATGGAAGAGAGAGAGAGGAATGGGGAGAAAATGTTCAAGCCAAAAATAAGGAGAGATGATTGGGAGAGCAGACCCTAGCCCTCACACGGTACCCATGTGGGCTAGACATTCAGTCTGGCACATTACCTCCTGAACTAGTACAGTGCACCACAAGATATTCTTAGACCTGAGTAACTATTGCAGTACTCCTCTTGAGAGTAGATAAAGGACGGAGAGGAGAGCTGTGAATGATTCCTAGACTCCAACAGGGATAGCAGAGGTGATAGTATAATGATAGAGTTGATAGAGGTAGAGAAAGTGGTAGTGACACCAAGAGTTTTATAATGAGCACAGTAGAGGCAGTGGTAGGGCTGGTGACTGTGAAAGTGGTATTGATGATGCTATTGGAAGTAATGGTGAAAATAGTTATAGTGGGATAATTGTATTGGTCATGATAGAGTTGATAGAGCAACTGAGATGTTAGAGGAGGGGATATTTGCAATGATAATGGTATGGTGAGAGACATCATAATACTGGGGTTGATGTCCATGCTAGGAGTGATACAGGGGAGGTGATAGTAGTGTGGATGTCATTAATAATTATGGAAATGAAGGTAGATGTGATAGTGGTGGTGCTTAGTGGTGAGAATGGTGGGAATGATGGGAGTGAGTGACATTGATGTCAGAGGTGGCAGTACTGGGAATGTTGGCAGTGATGATGGATTTCATAGTGGTGGAGATGTTAGAGTGATTATGGCCATGACGGTGGATTCCAAAATGGTGAGAACAATGGTGTTGGTAAGGGAGGCAATGATGTTGGCCATTTAAAAATGGACACAATATTATCAATATGGGAATATTAATCAAGATCATAAGACAGACACACATGTAGGGCATGTAAAGACAATAGTCTGGATAGGCTGAGTTACGCTGCAGTAACAAACAGTCCCACATCTTAGGGAGTTTACATAGCAAAAATGTAATAACTATATGTTAAAAGGTGGTTTTGCTCTCATAGTCACCCGTGGACCCCCCTGATGGCAGATCCAGTTCTATGTGTTTTTAGAATCACTGTGGCAGTAATGGATCATGCATTATTTCTGTATTGGTCAGCTTGGGCTAGGTTGTGGGGTGGTAATAATAACTCTAAAATTTCTGTAGCTTTCGACAATAGTATTTGTCACTCACACTGTATGTACATTGCAGGTTGGCTGTGGCTTTGCTCCACATCATTTTCTCTCTCTGGGATCCAGGCTGAAGGAGTGGCCTCAATGCAGCTTTCAGCCTTGTGGCAGAGGAAAAACAGAATATGATGAAGCGAATTCTGGGTTTTCAAGCTTCTGCTCAGAAGTGACACATATTGACCTGCCATATTATTGGCCAAAGCAAGACTAGTTTCCAAAGAGGCAGGTAAGTGAAATCTTCTCAGGTGCCTAGAAAGAGGAAAACTGGAATATTTGTGAACTCTTTAATGACTGTGACAGGAGCTGTTTACTCACAGAGTACAGGAGGGAGTGATGGCAGTGGAGGCATCATGGAAAGGCAGTCTGGTCAGTGAGGAAGGACTTGGTCAGAGGAGGACTCAGGGATGAGGGGAAAACAATTTAGAGGGAGGAAATACCAGGAGTCAGAAGCAGGACAAGTCATGGCAAAATCCACAAGCCTGCTTGCATTGCTCCTCAGTTCCCTGGTATTTCGGTCTTCCCCCAACTCCAACAGATTCCAGGGAAGTTTGTCTGTAGCACAAGATTCCTAGAGAGAAGCAGCAGAAGATAAGGACGGAAAGATCAGCTACAGCCAGAGCAGGGAGGGCTTTGAATGCCATGCTGAGATATATTGCACCATAAACCATAGGTAAAATGCTGCCTAGTCACATAAGCTCGGGGAATGCTGCACACTCCAATCCCCTCTTTTATGTTTACTCTTCACACCAAGAAACTCACTGAGGAAAACTCTGCCATCCTCAACACGAGGCTTCCAGGCACTCTGCATGTCAACATCCTGGTCAGCAGGATGGGAAAGAACAAGGAGTGGAGCATGGGAGGTTTTTATGGGCCAGGCCAGGAACTGGTACACATTGCTTCTGCTCAAGTATCACGGGACATAACCTAATCACATGGTTGTCCACAACTGCAAGGGAGACCTGCAAGTATAGTCCAGATGTTTGCTCAAATTAGGAGACATGAAATTTTGGAGGACAGCTAATGTTTTCTTCATGACAGCTCTCCTCAAATCTCTGAAAGACTTGAATGTGCTGAAGGCCAAAGCTTTTCAGTATGGCTTCCAAGGGGAGAAAGTGATAGGAGGCAGATGTTGGCTCAGTGAATGGAAGGACTTTCTTGACCATTTTAACTAATCATGGGCCATCAGGATTGGGAGGGACCAAGGAGGTCCAAACCCCTCTCTGAGGCTTGAATCCCCTTCTAAGAACTGTTTAGAAAACAGTTCTTACCAGAGCGCTCTCCACGTACGAGGCAGCTGATTCCATTTCCAGAGTTCTGAGGCTGGAAGTACGGACCACTGAACTCATACAGAACTGCGAACAGGAGCAAAGGAGCAAAGGTGTGTATTTTTTTACCCCTTACGTCAATACCTACCTCCACACAGGCCTCTCGTCCTGGGGGCTGCGTTGTCCAGCTGTGGAGGTCCTCTGTCTCTCAGGCTCCCACTGTGGAGACAACACCGGGAGAGGAGTCAGGCCCCAGTGGTCAACCTCCAAGGCCACTTCTGGCCTACAGTGTTGGCGACTGACAGTGGCAATAACAGTCTGTGTCCCCAGTGCAGACAGGAAATGCAAACTTTATAGTTATTAAACTCACAGGGGTTCTGGGGACTTCTCTGGAGATGTATGACCCAGTCTGCCAGGTGTCTGACCTGGCTGGGTTGTCCCTGTCTCTTCTTCAGTCTCCTTGACTATCTCATTAACTGCCATCGTTCTGACCTTGTCCTGTCTTTATGAAATGCAATGGGCCAGCTTCCTCCTGCAGTCTCCCCACTACCTTGGGAAGCAGCATGGCCTTGTTTAGACTAGAACATCCTAAGCAGGACCATTCCCCTTTAGACCTTGCTCCCAGAATGCCACCCAATGGTCAGGTAGCCCCATATCCCATGAAGGGAACCTTCTTAACAACCAACCATAGAGGCAGGACTGCAGGTCTTTACCAGTGCCGAGAGCACCATTCATGTCATCAGGGGTGCCATGCTTGCAGGCCACAGTGTAAATGGTGCCCCCTGGGGTTGTGCAGTGTAGCAGCTGTAATGTAAAGCACACTTGGCTTGCACCAGTGACGTGTTTTCCTTAAATACAAAGAGCTGTAAGGATTCAAAGCACTTCTGTGCTTTCAGTTGATCCTCAAAACACTCTAAAGTCAGATGGCATTTTCATCTCATAGAGGGGAAACTGAGGTCCTGAGACAAGAAGCAGCTTCCCTGGGGTCATACAACTATGAAGTGGGGGAGCGGGAGCTGGGGCCATATGCTCTGAGTCAGTGCACAGCAGCTCCTTGCCTTTCACCATGCTGGCCCCAGCCACACCACACTCCTGGCACCCTGACTTCCTCTGCTCTGGTTCCTGTACCTTCTGGGTTCAGGACAGTATTTCCAAAGTGAGTATGTGCTAAGTAGTCTGGACTGATGGGTGAGGACAGAAGGGCCATTTTTCCTCCAGGTAATACAGGTGTGTTCTTCAGGGCCTTGTCATTAGAGCTCCTTTGGTGCCTTCATGGAAAGTGAGGGGGGAAGGTATCCCCCTGGATCTAGCCAGAGCCAGAGCCAGGAGGCAGCAGCACCACTGGCCCCTGTGCCCCACTTGCGGCAGGCATCCCAGCCCCTTTGTTGTCCTGTGCCCCTGTCTGTCGGATACTCCCGACATCCAGAAATCTGAAAGGCCTGGAAAAGAGGGGAAGAGGCAGCAAGCAGCAATGAGTTCATTCTGGCTGGTCGGCGCCGGGTGCCCCTGCGGGACCCTTTTTCCATGGCGGGGGCCAGGCCTCTCTGGTGGCCATGACTTCAGGGCTGGAGATTCCCTCCTGGCTGTCCCGGGGGATGGAGGCTGGGTTGTGGTGCATTCCAGCCATGCTCCCCTTAGCCCTGGCGACGTGAGAACCAGAACCCGCGATCTTCTGTCTCCCAGCTACTCTCCAGGGGAGGCTCAGGCCCAGTGTGTCACCAGCTGTCTTCTCGGCACCTCCTCCTGACCCAGACCTTTCCAGTCCCCCTCTTCCTGTTTCAGGGATGGAAGGCCCAGGACCCGCTTCTGCCTCTTGTCCTAGTTTCCCCTTCTGCCTTCCTTTTTTCTTCTTTGGGCCCCCAATCTGCCCTTGAGCCCTCAACCCTGCAGATACCAGCTCAGACAGAGCCAGTGTCCCCAGCGCTGGCTGTGGATGGCTCTAGGGGAGCTGTGGCCTGAGAGAGGCAGCTGGCAGCCTCGGGCCTGCTCCTGCGTGCTGGGGATGGTGCTCTGTGGGGACGTTGCTTGTCCTTCTTTCCAAACCTGGCATGAAGCTCTTCACTCCAACCCTTGTCCAGACCTCCCATCTCTCTAGCCAAGCCACCATTGATTCTCCCTCCCCACGTCACCTTGACAATTCTTTCCTTTCTCCTGGTCTCCTTCATGATCTCGGGGTGTTCTGTGGGCCTTCGGACCGGGGTGTCCATATCCACTAACAAGACCATTCATATCCATCCTGGCCTGGCTAAGCCTGCCGCCATGCTGTAGCCCAAGACCGACTTTTCTCAAGAGCATTCCCACAACTGGGCATTTGCTGTGCCCCTTCCCTCACTATGCTCTCTCTGCTGGCACGGGGCACCTCTTGTCACTGTTGACCCACTGCCGATAATCAGGTCTACAGCTCCTCTTGCCTGCATCCTCAGCCTGCCTGCTGGAGGTCGTCTGCATCTGCTTCTCTATTCCACTTGCCCCTCGCAGCTCAGCCTACTCCACTGAGAAGGACTGAAGCCTCTTCCACCCTGCTGAGTCTGACCTCACTGTGGCCTCAGTGCCAGGCCCTTCTCTGCCCCCTCCTTGGACTTTGCAGTGATTACAGTGACCACCCACCTTGGCCTCTCTGCTACCCTCTGAATCAAGGGACCCCAAAATACTGTGGCTTATGCAGGATGGATGGGAATTCATTTCCCTTGCAGGGAAAAAGGCAGATACATGGTTGCTGTGGTGGTTTGATGGGGTCAGGACACAGCTCCTGCTGTTTGTTCTGCCACCTTCCATGTGCTGCTTCCATTCCTTGGTCCTGGAAGGCTGTCCTCTGTGGGGAAGGGAATGTGAGGAAGAGGAAGGTGTGCAGCTCCCTTTTGGAGGTAGGACTCAGTAGCTGCAATGTCTGCTGGCCAGAACATAGCATATGGCCATACCTAGCTGGGGACTGTGGTCTCTTTCCTTTCTCCTAGACTCCTTCATGATCTTGGGGTATTTTGTGGGCCTGAGGACCGGGGTGTCCGTATGCCTTGGAAAGACCATTCATGTCCATCCCTGGCCTGGCTAACCCTGCTGCAGAAATTCCACTGCCATCTAAGGCGGGGAGAACTATCTCTGATGATTCCTTGTTGATACTTTTCTTGGGCTGTTTTCCTTTGTGTGCCCTTAAATGCTGGTATTCCCTTTCAGGCATATTCTTTTCTCTCTACATGGTCTCCATAGGGATTTAAACAGCTGTGGATTTGAACCCCTTCTTCCCAAAGTAAGGTGCTCCCATCTGTATCTTGATCTCAGAAGTACCTCCTGACGCTACCCCCACATTCCCACCTCACAATTGGTATTTCTTTTTGGGGGTCCCACTAGTGCCTCAAAATCAATATTCCCCTGAACCTAACTCATCATTTTCTTCCCAAACCTCCTTTCCCCCATGGGGCCTTTGCTCCTGTGTTCTCCATTCTCTCTCCGTTGGTCCCCATGCAATCCATACCTCAAGCTTCCCCAGAGCCCTCCCTTCTTGTCCATACCCTGCCTCTGGCCAGCTCTTTTCATTCCCCTGCTGGCCTGGCAGCAGCCTCAGCTATCCCCATACCTCCTGTTTGCACCTGCCTTGCCAAGACTACAGTGAAGCTAGACTTCCTTTAAAATGTGCATCCCCTACTTGTACACCTTCTGTGGCTCCGTACTGCCCTTAGTGCACACTTGTCAGCCCATGTCTTGCTTCCTCCTGTTTCTGCTTTGCCATTCCAAATGGCTTTGTGAGCTCTGAAAACTGTACATCCTGTTTCTCAGCCTGCGTTACCCACCCATCCCATTTTCTCTATCTGCCCAACATCATGGCAGATGCCTGCTCAGCCCTCAGGACTCTGCCGAAGAGTCCACCTCTGGGAGGCCTCTTCTCACCCTCTCCCATGCCTTTGAGGGGAGCTGAGACAAAACACCAGTGCCTGGCCTCTAAGCAGAGCCTCTGTCTGTCCCAGAGCCAGAGCTGTGATGAAGCATTTCTACCTCTCTCTCGCGCCTGCTCAGGAGCTCTCTGAGGGCCGGGTCTCAAGCATAAGGCATAAGGCCTGGCAAATAACAAAGCATCCAGAACCTCTTTGTTGAAAGAATGAACGATCATGTCACCCTAACTCAGAAAACATTGGTGGCTCCTCACGGACGACATAATAAAGCTTAAGTCCTTTTCCAAAGGCATTGGAGGCCCTGCATGGTGGCACCATCATGTTTTACAGGCTCAACTCCCACTTTATCACTCAAACATGCCCTTTCTTGTCAAACCCACATACCTTAAGTCTCCTGTATCTTTTGTCATTTGCTTTTGCAGTGCCCTTTTCCCCTTCTTCACCTGTTTAACATGTCCTCAGCCTTCAAACCTCCTTTTAGTATAACCTCCTTTGATCTGCCCAACCCAGTCCCGTATTCTTTGCTCTGCACTCCCATTGCCATCATGGTTCCTCACTGTTCCTCTCAATAGAGAGCTGTGTCCAGCAGTGGTGCCAACATCCAGCGCCTCTCCTTCATCTGAAGTTCCCTTCTGTCTCTGCTGTGCCTACCACCACATGGTGAGAGGACTGTCCTCATCTTTGGCAACCCTGCCTTTATGGTCCCAGGTAGCACTTCCCCAGGCTGGGCCAATCATAGCTCCTTACCCTTCTGGTTCTAGTTCACTGGTTCAAGACCAACCACTCACTCAGTCTAGACCACCGAGACTAATTCCCTGATGTGTTTTTAAAAACAAAAACTGAGAAAGACAATGAAGTTCAAGTAGTATGATGTAAAACTTGGAAGCTGTTGCAAGCCATGTCCTTTTGTGTGCAGAGGAAGCCATGGTGCAGTAAGAGAAGGAAGCTAACTCAGAGAGAGGCATGCATGAGAGAGAGACCTGGAGGTGCTTGGAGGTTTCCTGAAGCCCCATTGCATCCCTGCTTTTGCCATGACTTCGTGGGATTCTCTGCGTGAATAATATCCATCTTTTTTCCTAAGCTGGTTCAAGCTGCAACCAGGAATCCTGACTCATACCTGTACCTATTTGGCTCTGCTTAGTACTGTAGCTGTCTGAGGGCACATCTGATGCCTCCCCTCATCTGTCTCTGAGTCTGTAAAGGGTACAGCTCCCATTGGGTGCCTCTTATTATGACCGAGTCCCCACCCAGGCCCATGGCTGTAGACCGTGGCTGGTCCACCTTTGCTAATTCAAT